AATAAAATAATAAATAAAACTGATTAGTTATTATAATTGTTTATATTTGTTGAGAAGTGGGAAGTCATTTTTTATATATTTCTTTTCTTTTTCCTTATTCTATTCTTACTCTTATTTTTTTTTCTTTCATTTTTTCCTGACACTTTCATTTTCTATTTATTATTTTATTTTTTAGTTTGTATGTTATTTTATAATTGATAGTATAAATTTTATTTAAAATTTCTATTAGATAATTCAAATATGAATCTTCCTATTTAAGAATCTAACAATTATAAAAATACATTTTCTTCTGATGTTATATTATTATTGAAGGTATAAATTTTGACAAAATTGCTATTAGAGATTTATGATATGAAACTTCTCTTTAGGAATTTAACAATTTTAAAAAATAATGTATATACTTTTTCTGTTATACATTCTTCTGCATATGTTACATGTCACACAATAATTACATAGGGCCCCAGGGAGGCAATTTATACCACACAAATGTATGTGCTAAATATGCTGATGAGGAGAAGGGGAAATACAGATTGGAATCAGAATTGTACATTCACAACTTTCCTGCCTAGCAGATTAAAATGTTTAAAATGTTATTTCTGACATGTTTTAAGAAATGGAGAAGGCATTCTAGACAGATGGTCCATGAAAGATACTAGGTGGAGACAATAAATAGCCTAAATTACAGTTTTCAGTGGAAAGCAGTGGACAAAATCATTAAAAGCAAGAGATAAGGAAACTGTCGTATTTAAATAATATGCTTTGAGTTCTTTGACATTCCTTGACTATGAAAGTTTAAAAAGTCAAATCCATATAGCTTTAGGCAAGGCAGGAAAAATATTCATCTTTGACGTAGCTCTGTTGTACACAATACTTTAACAACTGGTTCTTGTAATTGCAGTGAAGCACTTGAATTGGACTGCCATGAGTACGGTAGAATTGGTGAGTGCTGGGCATTGTGCCCGAAATACCACCGAATCTCCTTCGATCTCAAACATGCTTCTGCTAGCTTCTGCATGTAGGACCTCCAATCTAGGACCTCTCAGTTTGAAGAGGAAGTGACTGGGTCTGTGAATTGGAAAAGGTCAGTGTTGAGTGATCATTGCTGATAACTTACCTTGTGACCAAAGCAGTACAGCAAGAACACACAAGATTATTTTCCTCATTGTTTTTCTGGAAACAGATTACCTGTAATCAAGAGTTGGAAATCGGGATCATTAGCTATTCAGAGTATCATTTTTTTTTACATTTTCACAAAAGATTCTGTGTTTAAAAAAAAAGAATTTGGAAGACCCACCTTAGTACATAACACTATTTAATATTTGGAAAAATTCAATATGTTAAGATCAATTAAAATGTATAGCAATACCATTATCTTAACTCTGCTTTAAATGCTTTGTGACATTATGTTTTAAGAATTGTCTATATTTGTAATGGGAAATGCTCCTCATAAAAAGATCCTGATTCTTATATAGAAAAGNAAGTAAAACTATTTTTAAAAATTCTATGCACAATATATTTCAAAGTATTAGCTGTTCAAAGAATTATTTTTAAAAAATCACAAAAGATTCTGTGTCCAATGAAAGACCCACCAAAAACACCCACCAAAAAACATAACACTATTTAATATTCCAAGCTATTGGATATGTTGAGATCAATTAAACTTTATATCCTAGCAATACCATTGCCTTAACTGTGCTTTAGACTCTTCAGGATATATGTTTTAAGAATTCTCAACATTTGTAATGGGAAATGCTCCTGATGAAAAGGTCCTGTTTTTTACATATTAAAGGTAGAAAACTGTAAAACTCTAGCCTAGCCAGTGTTAATAGATGCTGGAACATGTGGTCCACTATCATCTGGAAACACTGCAACTGCCTTCCCTAATTCTTGCTATAGTATTTTTCTCTAATATGTTCAGGCTAAGAAATCTGAAATAATTCAAAATAATACTAATAATCATAATAGTTATAACACAGCAATAACTTTAAAACCTTGCTTTCTTTGGCATAGTAAGTTTAAGATTCTATTTTAGAATATATTATTTCCCCCCCCTGTGTAGTCATTGTATAAATATGCACATAATGAATAAAACATATGTGTTAGAAAAGCTGAATCTTACCTTTGGACAGCTGAGCTATGGTTTGGTACCTGGTGGTATAACTGCAAGTACCGTATATATATATATTTCTCCTCTCTCTTTTTTTCTTTGATTTTGGGAAATTCTTGGGAAATTCTTACTCTAAAATCCCTTATTCTGCAACAATTGTGACGTAGGAGATCTTAACATAAAGGGAAATCCATTTCTTACACAATGGGTAAATAACTTTGTAAGGATCATAAAGCAATGTTCTTCAAAGCACAGGGCATGTTGCAATCAGGTGATTTGTAAAAAATTTATGGAGTAAGCTGACAAGCTGACAAGATGTCAAGATTACTGCTGATGCTTTGTCTGTTCCCAATCGCACAAAAAGAAAAAAAAAATTCCTCCACCTGCCCCTCTAAAGTACTCTAAATATTTGTTCTCCTGTTAAATATATACTGTGGGAAGAATTTATAAATTTGTATAGGTTGTAGAAATATATAAGGAGTCATATGTTAACTAACCCAGGACTCCACAGATTTACAACAGCGTCTGAAATCCTTTAAACCCAAACATAAGAATTAAACACTTATTTCAAGTTATAAAAATATACAAGCAAACACCCAAAACTCAATTAACACAAGGTAAATGTAATTATAATGATCACAGTTCAAACAAATAGACTCAACCCAAATCACTTGATCTAATCAACCACTTCACTGGCTCAACACATACACACGCCCATGCCCTTCAAGTGTCATCCTAGAATCAGCACGTACACACTTCCACACGCAGGAAAAGCTCCCCTATAAAACAACTTTTATGTACCCCATTTTCTACCGGTATGTATCTACCCCCATAGGCAAACCACTTTGCTTTTGGGAATAAAAGAATTCTCCTTTCCTCACAACTATCTGGATTTCATTTTATATTTATTCTTGCACAACTCTGGCTTAGGTTGCAACCTCAAATTATTCTTCTGAGAATAATATATGGCCACTTCATCTTTGAATTGAATTGGCACAAACACACAAATCTGTGTTTCACTTAACTAGGGCTTACTTAATTAGCTATAGCTGGTATAGCCTGTACAAGAATTTTGCCATGGTTTCATGGTTTCCCAACTTGATTAAAAAAGACTAGCAGTGAGGTGCTACAAGAGTCCCAGTCTGAGCCAGACACAGATCTGGATTATGGGGCCATTGCTGTGGAGTGTTGGGGATAATATGAAACAGTGTAGTTCAGTTAGCCTACCAAAGAAACCTGACGGTCCTTTTAACACCACCTGGAGCTTAGATTACTATGTGAACCTGGCTTCTGTCTAACCTGAGGCTACTCTCAAGCTTATGTTGGCTGTTCCACCGTGTGAACGGACTTAACCATGCTAATGTATCTATATCTTTGCAAATTATCTATTATGTTGATGGGAAAAGAAAGGTGGATATAAGCAAAGAATCTATAGTAGTGATGGCTAACCTTTTTATCATTATGTACCACAAGTGTATGTGCATGCTTGTGACACCCCCCGCATGCCCCACCTTCCTGCACACATGACCCCCTGTGCTCCCCCGCCCTGACGTATGCACACATGTCTCCTGCATAAGCCCCACCCCCTGCGCATGCGCAGCAGAGACCCAAAAATCAGCTGGCTGGAGGGGGCATGTGTGCATGCCTGGTGGAACTGAGCTGGGCAACAACTTGAATGCCTGCAGAAAGGGCTCTGTGTGCCACCTGTGGCATGCATACCATAGGTTCGCCATCACGGCTCTAGAAAAAAAATCGATATTTTTTTTATAACTACTGGTAATTTTTATCTGAATTATAATTTTTGTGAAAATCTATGTTCTCGAATATAAAATTATTCAATCTTGTGTCTGTGTCAATGCGTCAGTATATATGATCAAGTGTATCTCCACAAACACATATATGTATAAACAATTTATTTGTTGTTTCTTCTTTTGTTTCCATATTGTACTAAGATTGGTTCCAATATTTTGACACACTGAGTGATCTTAAATAAATGTATGTTTGAAATTCATAGTAAAAGAAAAATGGTGAACCAAAGCAATCAGATAAAGCGAATAAACTCTGCTTCTCAAGATTTCAGATATGATTGAGATTGCTCTTCTAGGATTTTTATTGTTAAACTAAATATACATGGTAAACTAAAGGAATAAATGATCTAATCTCAGTAAGAACCTGCTTTCGTTGGGATGTGATACAAGTAAGTTATGATCCCTTTCTGTGCATTTTTCAAAGCAGAAACACTTAATACATACATATTCCTCTGTTATAGTATTTAATATTTTCTTCAATTTGCTTTGGCTTTTGTCTCTGCTCATTGTTTTTTCCCACTGTAAATTATATTTTATATTTTGTTGGTTAAGAACTTAATACATACATATTCCTCTGTTATAGTATTTAATATTTTCTTCAATTTGCTTTGGCTTTTGTCTCTGCTCATTGTTTTTTCCCACTGTAAATTATATTTTATATTTTGTTGGTTAAGAACTTAATACATACATATTCCTCTGTTATAGTATTTAATATTTTCTTCAATTTGCTTTGGCTTTTGTCTCTGCTCATTGTTTTTTCCCACTGTAAATTATATTTTATATTTTGTTGGTTAAGAACTTAATACATACATATTCCTCTGTTATAGTATTTAATATTTTCTTCAATTTGCTTTGGCTTTTGTCTCTGCTCATTGTTTTTTCCCACTGTAAATTATATTTTATATTTTGTTGGTTGTTCACTTAATACATACATATTCCTCTGTTATAGTATTTAATATTTTCTTCAATTTGCTTTGGCTTTTGTCTCTGCTCATTGTTTTTTCCCACTGTAAATTATATTTTATATTTTGTTGGTTAAGAACTTAATACATACATATTCCTCTGTTATAGTATTTAATATTTTCTTCAATTTGCT